AGAGAAAACTCTCAATGAGATTTGGCTGCAACAGTGAGCTCAGACGTAGCAACAGCTGTGAGGACACCACTGGCTGGGCATTGTTCTGTTCTGTTGTACATAGGTGACAAGTCGGAACTGATGCAATGACACAAAATATTCTGTGGAAAGAGCTGATCTTACAAAATAAATGTATTCATTTACTTCATTCTCAGCCCACTGTGTTTTAAGTTACTGTTATCATCTATGGCGTGAAGAAAAGTGAAGCAAGCCATGCAAAGTCCGAGAGCCTCAGAGTCTGGCCTCCCAGCCGCTGCACTGCACTTCTTCCCGTCATTATAACATGTCTGTTCTCATAAACCTGTAGATTGTACCTGTCTGTCTGCACCTGATTGGCAGCTTCTCAGGTCGTGGTGCTTGAAGTCACCCCTTGTCAGGGCTGACTCGATGCCACCTAGCAGCATCCTGTCTAGGGAGATGTCATGATAAAAAGTGATGCTTGCATGAAACCCGAAGAATCTTGATGTAAAATGTCACCTAATCCTTAGGGGGGAAATACTGGATATGTGTGTAGTGTTGTTGTTATGTGCTGTCCAGTTACCTGCGACTCATAGCGACTTTATGCACAATAGCTCTGAAGCCTGGCCTATCTTGAGCTAGTCTCACTGCCTCCAACGCACCTACTCCGATTACCCCAGTAACTGTATCAGTGCATCTCACCCAGGGTCTCCCTCTCCTGTTCTGTCCCTCCACTCTTCCAAGCATGATGACTGGTCCTCCTGGAAACATGCCCAAAGTAATGAGATAGAGCTTCAAAATCCTTCAAAATCCTTGCCTCCAAGGAGCAACTTGGTTTTACCCTTTCCAGGACAGACCTGTTTGTTCTCTTGGGTGTCCATGTTCAATGCTCTTATCCAGCACCACAACTCAAAGGGATTGTTTATTCTGTCACCCATAGTCATTGTCCAGCTTTCTGATGGATAGTAAGTAATTTTGAAGACTGTGGCCTGAATCAGGAACACTTTAGTCTCTAGACTGACATTGTTGCTCTTTAGCACACTGGAAAGGTACACACACACATACATGTGGAGTTCTAGTGGCTTAGTGGTAAGAAATTGTGCTGCCAACCTAAAGGTACTTGGTTCAGATCTGCCAGATTCTTTGTGAGAGAAGAGCAATCTCCTCCTGATTTACAGCCCCTGAAAGCTCTGTGGAGACTCAGCTGTGAGTCATTTCTAACTTGATGATACATAAAGATAACTATATGACCGAAGAAGAATCGATGCCTTTGAGTTGTGGTGGTGGAAAAGAGTATTAAACAATATTGCATATGGACTTCCAAGAGAACAAACTGATCTAGCCTAGAGACGGTGACATCAGCTTGCTTCTGGGAGACAAGACTTTTAAAGCTTCAGCTCACATACTTTGGGCATGTTGCCAGGAGGAATCAATTCTTGGAGAAGGACATCATGCTTGGAAGGGTAGAGGGTCAACATAGGAGAGGAAGAGCCTGGATGAGTTGGATTGACACAGTGACTATTGCAATGGGGGCAGGTGTGTCGGGGGGGGGAGTTGGTTCAGAGCCATTGTTCATAAGGTTTCTATGAGCTGTAATCAACTCGACAGCACATAATAACAGCAACACAAAATGTGTGTGTGTGTGTGTGTGTGTGTGTGTGTGTGTGTGTGTGTGAGAGAGAGAGACAGAGACAGACAGAGACAGACAGAGACAGACTGTGGATAGTCCTATTGTGCTCATCTGAAGATAGAGCTTTTAACTCATGCCCGAAGAGTGAATAAGCCTGATACCTAAGGACTGCTAAAGGCTCAGGCTTACTTACATGTATTTGTGAGGTTTCAAGGTCCTAAGATGCCTTTCTTTGAGAGAAAAGAGAAATTAGGCCAGTCTTACTGAATGTATGTGGATTTGCACCGATTATTGTTGTTGTTAAGTGTTGTTCAGTTGCCTATAACTCACAGCAACCTTATAAACAGTGGATCCAATCCTGTGTCATCCTCATCAACTTTGAGCCCATTTTTACAGACACTGTCATTCCATCTCATTGAGGGTCTTCTCCTCCTGTGCAGACTCACCATTTTTCCAAACATCATATTCTTTTCCAAGGACTGGCCCCTCCTAACAGCATGCCAGAGAATGGGAGATGATGAAGCTTCACCATCCTTGCCTCTAAGGGGCACTCTGGCTGCACTTTCTCCAAATATATCTGTTTGTTCTTTTGGTAGTCCATAGGATATTCAGTATTCTCCAACACCACAACTCAAAGGCATTGGTTCTTCTACTGTCATCTTTATTCATTGTCCAAATTTCAGATGCATAGAAAGTAATTGGAAAGATCATGGCCTGGATCAGGTGCTTCTTAGTCTTTAAATCGACATCATTGCTTATTAGCTCTTTGGAGAGATCTTTGACAACACATATTCCCAATGCAACATGTCTTTTGATTTCTCGACTGCTTGTACCCCAAGCATTGATTATGGATCCAAGTAAGATGAAATCATTGATAATTTTACTCTTTTCTCCATCGATCATGATGTTGCCTATTGACCAGTGGTAAGAATTTTTGGTTTTTGATAATAGTCTTTTGAATTATACTAGTCTTATATAATAAGATGAAGATTATTTGTTCCTTTAAGGTTTGATATGATTCATTGGTAAAACCAGGTGAGATTAGTATTTTCTTTCTTTTTAGAAAAGTTTTAATGTTTTTGGAGGGTTTTTACTCACAGTTGTGGGGTTTATTAGGGAAATATTGTCTTTCTTTTTTGAAACAATAAATACTTAGAGACAAATGCACTTCTAGTAAGTGGCTCATATGTGTTGAGACCAAATCTTGAGGAGGCTTCTTGTGACTTATGTGATTGCAAGGACTGATGGCCCCCAAATAGTCATTCCTCTTCATGGGCTTGTAAGAACTGGCAGATCTTTAAAGCTGTAGGTCATATGGCCGACTGTGACTCACGCTCAAAGATCAGAAGTCAGAGGATGATGACTTGGATGTGGCGTTGAAAGCCAACCTGCATTACCAGAGCATTCGTATATTCAGATGCAGACTACACCCCCAACAAAATGCCTCTCTTATGTGACTAACTGCTCATGTCAAATCACAAAACTAATGACAGTTATGGCTCAGCCAAGTTGATGTTGTTGTTATGTGCCGTCGAGTCGCCTGCGACTCATAGCGACCCTATGCACAACAGCCCTAAACTCTGCTCGGTCCTGTGCCAGTCGCACTGTCTCTGACACTCCCATCCCGATTATCCCAGTCACTGAATCAATCCACCTCATAGAGGGCCTTCCCCTCCTGCACTGTCCCTCCACCCTACCAAGCATGATGTCCTTCTCCAAGGACCAGTCTCTCCTCACAACATGTCCAAAGTATGTTAGATGGAGCCTCAGAATCCTTGCCTCCAAGGAGCCATGCAGTTTAACCCTTTCCAGGACGAATCTGTTTGTTTTCCTAGCAGTCCATGGTACTCTCAGTACTCTTCTCCAGCACCACAGCAAAAGCCAAGTTGATACATAACCTTAACCATCACAATCCACCCCTTGTCATTTAGGCATCTGTACACATCTCTTTAAACCCTATATAACCTCTACATTAAAACAATTAAATAATTACACTTGGACCTGACATGATACAATTAACATGCATACTCCTGAAAATGTGCTAGCCTTTTTTTATCTTTTATAATTAATGGAGTAAGAGAGGGAAGAAAGCAAAATTATTTGATACATACATATCCATACAGTAACACATAAAGTAAATTAGTGAAGAACTAAAACAATTCTTTTTTTTCCAAACTGGTTACATAGTCCAAGCTGATATTTAGCTGCTACCATCAACCCTGTGTTCCTTTTCCCTCAGCATACATCTTAACTGGTCATGGTGCTTTGCATTCCTCAGGGATCTGGACCACTCGTAGTCATGTTGGAATTAAGTTTCATTAACTTTAATCACAGATGTCATGGTGGTACTAAGAGATGCCTGAAGAGGTCTTTTGTAGTGTAGGCATATTCTTCCTTTCCACTCCTGAATACTCTAGTATGACTTGGATAAGAGTTTATGGAGCAAATTAGTTTACCAGGCAGCAATTTATATACAGCTGTTTCATGACTTCTTCCTATTCTTGCCATCCACTCAAGTACAACTTATAGCTGACCCTACAGCAGGTTTTCAGAGGCAATAAATTGCGTACTAGGAGATTGCCCACCTTCCTCTGTGGAGCAGCTGGTGGATTTGAACCACATGCCGTTGGAATTGCAGTGCAACTTCTTAGCACTAGGCCACCAGAATTAGTGGTTTCATGACTAGTGTTTTCTTTGTAAAGAGATTTTTAGTTAACCAATTCAAATTCTTTAAGTAAATAGTCATATTTCTAAAAGGAAAAATTTGTAATTTTATGAGAATTTTCCAGTTGTTATAGATTTCCTATTTATTTACATAAAATGACTGTTTTTCTTTTCTAATCAAACGCTTATTCGACATTGCCTTTCCTTTACTCAACTTATCTATTTAGTAATTTTTGCTCCATTCTCCCTCACTTCCCTTTCTTGTTAACCCTATTATTAATATTTTCCTTCTTTGTTTCTTGATAATGTAACTGGAGGTTTATTTAACTTTCTTATTTCAGAGAACTAATTTCTAGTTTTGTCAACCAAACTATGTATTTTATCTATGTTCTTAGTTTCATTAAACTCTACTCCCGTTACCTTATTTGTATTACTGCCCTCTTTGGGTGTTTTCTGTATTTTATTCTAACTTCTGCCTTGTTTTCTAATATAAGAATTTTAAGGTTATACACTTTGCTAGTCTTGTTTTTGCATGGTACAAAAATTAGCAGTCATTATTTTCAGAGTGGAGAAAAGGCTCCTACTCCAACTTACTTCCCAAACTCAACTGTGACTAAAATGAATCGTTTTCATTATGTCAGACAATATTATTTTAATATGTGCATAATAAAGCCATACTTACTAAGGTTATAATATTTTGTTTCTATAGGACTCACCTTTATTTGACCTCATTAAACAGTCAAAGGCACGAGAAGCTGCAGCTAATCTTCATGAGTCTACTTGTACTGTCAGCCAGAATACTCAAGGCACAGCAGACACGTAAGTACATGTGCTATTAGACATTCAACTTACAAATAGATTTTGTAACTAGCAATTTTGTAAAACCTGAGGACAGTTTACTTTTTCCTAAGACCTTGTTCTTGCTTTCAAAAATATAGAAGATAAAATACATAAGGGTGTCTCATAAAAGGATGCAGAATGATACTGAAATCAGTCAGGACTGGAGCGATGAGGGCAGTTTTCATGCTAAAGATGGTAATTTACATAGGGCTTAAAAGCTGATGAGTATTTTAACAGAAACAGAAGAGGAAGGAGGAGATAGCAGAGTGTCCCAAGAGCCAGAAATGGCATGAATCCAGAAGCCTCTATGCCAGGAAAGCAGGAAACTTTTTCAAAATCTGCAGTTTTCAAAGTCTGAAGGGCAGCAGGAGCTATTACAGGGAGGAGACGAAAATGGTGGTGGTGGAGGTAGAGGTGGAGGTAGTGGTGGTGGAGG